CAGCTCTCTTTTTAAAATATGAGTCCTTCCTGCCTCTTTTTTATATGGACACACACACACACACACACACACACACACACACACACACACACACACACACACTTGAAAACTCATTTAAGAAGGTCTGAGAACTACTGCCAATTAGAGGATAAAACAAGATGAAGGAAAAGCTCATCTCAGCTTGGCCTGCTAGCAAGGAAGCCTGCTCTGGGGCCCTCTGCTACCCTGGCATCCTGGATGGAAAGATGACGGCTCTCTGTGTTTTTGCCTTTTCCTTTTCCGGCTGACTTGTGACTCATAGTCACTTCTCTAGTTGATGCTTGTGGACTAAGCAGGATATGTATGTCACTCCTTCAGTCCCAAGGGTGTCCTGTGGGGTGAATGGCTCAGAAGCACACCTCTATTTGTTTTGATCTTCTGTGAATGCTGCCAAGGTCTTTGAGCTCCAGTGTGGCCTCTGCACAGACCTACTGGCAGGATGAAGGACACACTACCTTGCTGAGTGCCATCTGCCAGCAAGCCCAGGCTGGATGATAGAGGAAGCTGTTAATTCATGGTCTTGGGGAAAAGGTGGGGTGGCAAGTTTTTGATTACTGATAATCCTTTCATGTTTTTTAGTGAATCAGGAAGGCCTAGCTGAGAATAGAGACTCGTGTCCATCACAGGTTGACATCCTTTGAACCCTGAATCACTTAGACCAACAAGTGAGTTGGTGGGATGGCCCTCTTAGACACAGCTACTATGAGCCAGTCTTTCTTATTGTTTGGCCAACAGTTTGACCTCTTTGGTGACATAAACCTTGCGACTAAGCGCCTAATGTGTAAAGTCCACTCCCATTGGATGTGGGACGCTGTATGTGGAGAGGCCTAGGGGGTTTAAATCCAAATTGTTTGAATTGGATTAGCTGAAGTGTGTATTATAGCCAAACCATCTGGCCCCTTTGTTTTGCTCAGGGGAAGTAAATGCTCATTTGAATGAGATCAGAGAGGCGATTTAGGGGCAGTAAAGAGACCTCAGTTCTTTGTCCAGCTGCCTGAAGGTCCTGTGATTTTCGGGCCAGTGCCCCACTCTCTGTGTCAGAGGTGCGAGCTCATTAGCCGAAGACACGCGCAATTCCCCAAACACTAGTCGTGCCTCCCATGAGTAAAGACATTTTTTAGTTTGCTTCCTTAATTGTATAATTCTTTATTTGTAAATTATATACATGTACTACTGTACTAAAATATTATGTACATTATAAAACATACACAAAAAATAGAAATTTAAAAAAAAGATGAGATGAAAATAAATCTAAATCAAAGTTCTAATATTTTTTCCTGCATTCTAATAGACCATCATGTTCCTCTCCCCTAACAGTTGTCCCTAACATGCCCATAAGGCCTAGTTAAATCCAGGGCCCAACAAAATGCAGTAAGTGGTTTGCTCCATCTAGAGGTCCTGGGAAGTTGCCCAGGGCTCAGGAATTCCTGGTGGCTAACTCTTGACAAACAGCCTTCAACCTCTTCAGCTAGGGACGGTGGTGAAAGAGGTCAGCTCCCTGTCTTCATGGGTCTCAGTTAAGGGGGACTCTGGGTTATCATTGCCATAGAGGACTCTGAGAGGGGCTGGGGAAAGACACTAAACGAGTTACTACAAAGTAAAGAATTTGGGGAGCAGGGAAGACAATTTTGACCTAGGAAGCTGCCTGAATGTCCTGAGTGTTCCAGGGGACAGGGTGGTGGAAGGGAAGTTGCTTAAAGTGATTGCAATGCTCCCTGAAAGGCCACACACTCAATTTCCCCCGAGGCTGAAACCTGAGAGTCAGGGTGGGTAAGAGGGTCTCTCTGGTCAAGTATGCTCCTGAGTCTCAATCATACCTGTCCACTGACTAGGTGGCTGGTGCAATGAGGAGACAGCTGAGGAACTAGGTTAATTCTGGCCTTGGACTCTTGGCTGGTATCTTAGACCCCAGGGCAATGATGAAGGAACAAAACGGGGTCAGATACAAGCTCACTAAGTGGTTACTCAAAGACAACCGGGGCCATACACAGATAGGAGAATTCATTTGAGTCATAAAGGTGGTTTCTGAATGAAAACCTAGAAGGCAACAACTTAAAGCCCTCACAGAGGCTAACCTGGATCGTTATAAGATCTGATCAGTGGGCTCACCAAGAGGCCGTAGTAGTTAATTTGGGGTCCCATAGAGATCAGAGGTCACATGTAAGGATAACTGCCTCAAGGCAACAGCAAACTGAGATAGAGGAATCTCATGAGGTCATTTGCTGGGGCTTAGAAGAGGTCCATGATCTACAGGCCTGTGTACCATTCAGTCCAGGCATTTTTCTTTCATTTTTTTCCTTTGTAATAAGTGCCCTCTCAGCATCCCCGATGAATATAATGACTGTGTAAGTTTAGACTTAATCATCGAGTTTTTGCCACTTTGATTCAAGGTTGCAAGGCTCAGGATTCTGTCACCAGCACCATCAAGGTAGCCATCTTCTGGCATCTGTCAGCAGCAGTGATGGGTTCACCTCCACAGCGACTTGCTGTGGCATACAATTTCTTCCTCATTTCTCACCAAGCAAACTGTGGTCTGGAGAAGGCACAGGTCTAGTGAGGGCCAGAGCTGGCACACAAATTCAGTTCCTGTTGTTGCTCTATGCCTTTCTGTCCCACTTGTCTGTTAGTGCCTGTCTAGCTCCACACTGGGACATTCAAGAATGTATATAAGCACACACAAACGTGGGCATTCATCCCAGCTCTTTAGAGAGAAGACTTCAGTTCCAGAAGGCTGGAATCTTCCTTCCTGGTATTCTAGGTTGCTGAGGAGAAAGACTCTTCACCTTGGACTCCCATCTGCCTCCTCCATGCCTGAGATCAGACCTTCATCAGATTTGCAGGTTTAGACAGACCCTGGCTCTGAGGGGGTATAAAATTGGGGAAAGAGCGGTACCCTGTGGGTTTAGAAGCTGCAGCTGTTGTGGTCTTTCTGGCAACGAGGGTACCCATCATGCTGTCTTACATGTCCAGACTCTGCCTGTGACGTGCCTGAAGCCCCAAGGGTCATCTTTGCCTCCACTGCCCCCGTGCCAACCCCACAACTCTTCCCTCTTCACCCACCTGGGTGGAAAACAGTTGCCTCAGTTCAGCTTCCCAGCTCCAGGGCAGGGACTGGGCCAGAGTTCTGAGGCTGAGTTTAAAGCAGAACAATTTGCTGCAGTCCTTTGGCTGGGTTCCCCAGCACCCAGGGGGGACACCTTATAAATGATTTGGAAGGAAGACTTGGAGCAGGTCTTTGGAGCTGGGGCCAGCGGAACTGGAGAGAGGGTCACTTCTGCTCAGGAACTGCCCTGGCCCTTTCCAATCTTTATTCCAGTACCCACATGCCTTATCCCGGGTCCTCAATTCTATCTTCCCTCCTCACCTGGGGCCAGGTACACACAGTCAAACAGGAGTTATTTCTGATTTTATTTATAATATAAAAATGTTCAAGTGTCAACAGTCAGGTGTTTGGACATGTCAGGGTTCCCATTTGTTCCTGTTTGGGATTTTGTTTGTTTGTTTTTTAGACAATTGCCTTTTTGACAAATTAGCATTGGATCCACTTGTGAGGGCCGGGGAGGGCAGGACTGGATGGAAGTCATAGGTGGGTTGGGGGCTGGGCTGTGAGAAGGATATGGTGTTACTTTATTGCTAAAAGGGGAATCGAATACACTGTCGGAGTGGCTCTTCTGGGTCCCAGCGTGACCATGCATTCAATCTAAAGAATCTGAAATGCAAAGGACATGCAGGCGTAAAATAGAAAAGACGACCTGTAAACGAAGGTGCTGCAGAGGACAGAGGGG